TATGTATGTGTGTGTGCGTGTGAGTGTGGAGTGAGAAGCTACTTACTTTCAGCGAGTGTGCACTCAACGGCATCATTTTCATTCCATTCCTTGGTGCAGTAGCTCTCACCATCGAAGATATAGTCAGTTTGGTCAATACGAAGAACCTAAGAGAGAACGCGAGAGTTACTGCCAGTTAATTGTAACTCGGCAAAGTGGGGTGGAAGTAAGCAATGTGCATCAAGGTGTCGCCTACCGTGTATGGTCCAGGAAGAGTCACATTGATAGTGACACATCCCTCTGTTTCGTCTACCAAGTACTGCGCACCTGGTTCAAATCAAACGTGGTTGAAAATTATATGCCACAGGAAGTTGAACAGATGGTAGCATGGTTAGAGAATTGACTTACGAGCCAAAGCCACGAGGAAGAGAAGGAGGATTGGAGACATCTTGCTGAATTGAGGGTGTGGTGAGAAACGTTGCCTGAAGCTCTCCTAGGACTCCTCCACTTTTATACTCCTCAAACTCACCACGTTTTCATGTTCCATCTCATTCGCCAGTTTTCATAGGCGGGATGTGGGGTTTTCGCATGTTTGCAGGCTGGCATGTTCACATGTTTTGCATGTTTGCATGTTTGCCCTCCGGTCGTCCAGAATCACGCACAAGAGAGCAGTTCTTGCATGGGCTCTAGCAGGTCGTTGCGAACTCAAGCACTCAGTAAGTGAGGACTCTTTCCTTGCAACTGGCTAAAAGGTTAGTGCGATGCTTTTCAGGTGGACTTGATTGCATAAGTTCTATATCTCTCCCACTGCCTCCTCCCCCCCCCCACCCCGTCCACCTCGATCGCCCTCAACTTCTTTGCTAATTCGTTTGCATCGGTAGCACGTAGGTGAGGATGTGCGTTTGCGAATTTAGTTGGCATCCAACTCGAGTGGAGTGGAGAGGAAGATGTACTGATGAATTCTTGTTAAGCGGTGGTGCACCATAAGAGCGACTTCAGGAGACACCCGTTCACTGCATGTGAAGCAAAAGGGAAACTTTCAGTTGTGCTCTAATGAATGCGTAGCTGTTCATCAATAATGATACACTGCATTTAGACTGAGTGATAACATAATCGAACTGAACATCCATTTCCCATTGTATGAGTGAAATGGCTGTCATGCAATAGTACTCATTAATCCTTCATATTTCCTCGATATTTACCCTAACGGAAATTTAACCAACTACTGACTAATAAAACCTGCCACTAGAACAAATTTGTCCATTTAATTAGCTTATTTACGTTCGATATAGACAGAGCATAGAGCATACAAATTGAGAAGGTTTTATTGTTTGCGTTGGAACAACTGAAATCATCCCTATTACTTAACCTACGAGTGGCACCTTTGAAAAGCCAATGTGAATGTCGCTTTCTCCCAAAACATCTCTAGTCCATGTGATTAGACGTTCCGTTAACAAGATGCGCACTGCTGAGTGTCGCACGCGTGTCTTCTAAACCTGCAAATTTGCTGCCCTTCCAGGTCCCTTGTTATCCCAATACTTATTGCCTTGGCATTAATGGTTTGGCTGTTATTGGGAGCAAATTTCCTTCATTGTTCTTCATTCAGTTAAGTCATGAGTAGTTGCCAATTACTGCTCTTTACAACTTCCAAGCATGCTCCAGAGCTAATTACTACCACAGTGGTCTCTTTTCTCCCCTAACTTAGTCAGTTAAGAATATGGGAACCTCTGATTGTTAATCACTTGCGGAAGCCCTCCTCCAACAACTTCTACTCAATATGACTCCGATTTTACTCCTCATCTACTTGCCTTTTGATCACTTTCATGAGCATAGAATGAACATTTTATTGACGCCTTAAAGCTTGTGTAGCATGTATTAACCTGGTCATATGTTAAGCTTCGTTGGGGTGTGCGATAGACTTACCTGCACGTGGTGCACCCTGGGCAACGTATACTCATACCGCAAAAAAGTCTATTAACCGGGAGCTGACTTCTGACTTCAAACTACCATCACCCCACTGTATGTCATATTACACAGCTTCTGCAGTACTCATCACACCTTTTCTCTGCCTTTGTGTCTGTCTGTCTCCCCTACATCTGCGAATCACTCTTCTGTTCCCCCCTCCCGAATCGTTCTCACTTCGATTTTCCTCCCTCTTCGAAGCCCAAAGTCAGCCAAATAGCTAATGATAAATATTCTAAACGCCTGCCATTTGAATTAATAATAATAATTATAATGTTAGGCTACGTATATTCAGTAGAATCATAGATGGCAATAATAATCAAGTTGAGAAAATCATCTTACGCCTCAGGCATTTTTGCTAAAACTTGTCTACCCTCACACAAATTTTACCAACCATCGGCTAATAAAACCTGCCACTAGAACAAGTTAGTTCACCAACTGAGCTTAGTTACGTTGGATAGAGCTTGAACACAGAGCATACAAAGTGAAAAGTATTTATTACTTGCGTTGGGACAAACGACCATCATGATCTCAATAGCGAAATTCTCATTTGAGGGGGGCATGGAGAGCATGCGCAGTAGGAAAGATGGAGGCATGGTTCATGAAGTATAAGAGGAAGTAGAGTGGGATGGGAGACGCGATCGTCTTGCCAACCAATTCGTAGCCACACTCATCGAGAGCACTACTCGGTGCTTTATTCCAGCATGTGTCACATCCTTGTCAATTGTCAGTGTAGTGAGACTGCGAGTGTGCTTTCAAATGTCTTCACTTCCAACGTGACTCTCACACCTTCCTTCCCATCTTCCTTTCCAGACCACAATCATGACCGCCAACGCCGATCTCTGCCGTGACTACAGTGCTCCAAAATGCAGTAGGCTCTCGAATTTGAATTAACCACATTT